CCCACGAGCGTGCCAGGATGTAACTTACTGAAAATTACACGGGAACTGCAACGTGAATGACTGTGCTGAAAATTTGGAAGATAAAAAAACACGAACCTCGGAAAAGCGAAATCACGCTGACTTTTCCTTTTCGACTTGATAGACAAGAAGGTCGTCATATTGTTGCAAAACAGAGCAGTTTAATGGACAAAATCAAATATTTAAATAGACAATCGATATTGCTGTGCAGTATGTACACGTATACACTATACACGTGGCCTTTGCATTAGGTATAGAATGTCTAATTTCACCTTATAAATTGACATGCAAATTGCCATGCAAATCGATCGAGAAAACGAATGCACGTCACATCTTTTCAAAGACTTTCGGCGTCTTTGAAAAATGAAACAATTCGTGATTTGTAAATGTACAGGCTTATTTCTTCGTCTCTCTAGCTTCTCTTAACTCTTTATTCAACGATCATTTTCCAAGTTAATACATTTCTCCTAGTAACAATTAATCTTCATAATTTTTTTCCTATCGATAATTAATCTTTCAAATTTTTACCTATTAATCTGTATAATTAATTAATCTTCTAATTGATCATTTTTTCCTATTGATAATTAATTTCTCAATTAATAATTTTTTTCTGTTGATAATCTTTCAAATAATAATTTTCTCCTATTGATAATTAATCTTCCAATTAATAATTTTTTTCCTATCGATAATTAATCTTTCAATTAATAATTTTTTTCCTATCGATAATTAATTTTCCAAATAATAATTTTTACCTATTAATCTTTATGATTAATTAATCTCCCAATTAATAATTTTTTTCTATTGATAATTAACCTTCCAGTTAATAATTTTTTCCTATTGATAATTAATCTCTCAATTAATAATTTTTGTCTGTTGATAATTAATCTTCCAACCAATTTTTTCCTATTGATAATTAATCTTTCAAATAATAATTTTTTCCTATTGATAATTAATCTTCCAATTAGTAATTTTTTTCCTCTCGATAATTAATTTTCCAAATAATAATTTTTTCTATTAATCTTTATAATTAATCAACCTTCCAATTAATAATTTT